TTGCTTGTGCGTATTGTTGAGTTGAAGTCACCACACGAATGCATCCTCCCAGAAGCCTGGGTGTTCAAGTGTGATCGGGCATGGCCTTCCGTCACGGCGCCATTACCGCTGCTCTCGAGGCAGTACTTGTTGACATCAGAGCTCCGAGAGAGACGAGCACGTTCCTTGGCTAGGCTCCAACAGACCGTGCGTGCGTGCGTGCGTGCGTGCGTGCGTGCTCGTGTGTCTGGCTGTCTCTGTCTCTGTCCCTGTCTCTGTCTGTGTCTGTGTCTGTGTCGCGTGCGTGAGAGTGTGTACACGCACCCACTAGCGCACATGTGTGAAAGGGCGAGTGTGGCGCTTGTGTCTGGTTTTTCTTCTGCTATGTCCCGGCCTGGATGGGCTTGAGGGACGAGAAGCCTTGGACTGCCAGAAACATGGAAGCTTGAGATAAGGTCGGTGGTGTGACAAGCAAGGCTCACAATGAGAGCCATGCTGGCGCCTCCCTTGCTCGCTGTCAGAGCTGCAGGCTCCTTGGCAGCGAGTGATATTCGGTCAATATATCAAGGATATCGCTTGCCCTTGGCCCTTGAACCAGAGCCCGTGCAGATCACAACCTGTTCTTGCTTTGCTTGTTCACCCATACCTGCATTCCTTATCCGCGACATTCGACATTCGTGGCTTTGCTGTGACGAGGGCGGGTCCTTGTGTTTCACCACAGGAAAAATGGGGGAAGACCCTGCCACTGCGAGACTCCTTGGAAACTCACCGGTGACCGGCTGTACAATGCAATACTAAGCAATCGATGTATGCCCTCAGCCTCAACGCAAAAAATCATTAAGTGCGAGTTTTAGCTCGCCGGCGCTCTGAACTAAGAAAATGAGGCGATGCATTTCCTCAGTTCATGACACTGTCTCTTGAAAGGTCTTGCATACTTTCTCTCGATATGGCGGCACCGCTGTGCAAGCACAGGGAGGCTTCATGAGCCAAATATGGAGCTGCGTCTGCCTTCGATGCGACAGGCTCTCGCCCGACAACTTGCGGCACTTCCGCTGGCAAAGTCCAAGAGGATGTGATGATGGCCGCTGGTCCCCCATTCGCTTGAACGCATTGTCAGATGACGGCACACCCGTTTGGAGAGGGTGGGAATTGCGGGTCAAGCGCTGCACCGAGGTCATTTTGGCAGTGCAACTGGACCTATCAAATGCCTGGGCAGGGCCGGCGGTCCGGGCGTTGGCTTTCTTGTCCAAGCCGAGCAGGCAACCCGGGGCTGGATGGTTTTCAAGCGGCTGATCTGCAAAATATCAGGAAATCAATAAATCAAGCTGCTGAGGTTTCTCTCTACTGCAGGTCAAGCATTTGAAACTTTCTTAATCCTCTAGTGACATTTTATGTCGGCAATATGAACGGCCGAGACTGTGTAGAAATGAGCATTCCAAGCTCAGGACTGCAATCGCTTCGGCTGCCTCTTCTATCATTCGCACAGCTTCGGCCTGCATCCAGAAAGAATCCAAAGCGCTGTGTTGCGGATCGCTACCGTCCTGGTCCGGATGGCCGTAGTTGCCGCCGGTCAACATGCCCAGCTTTATGATGGTTTCTCTCAAATCCTTCGTTGCAGGATGCATGCCAGTGTTTAGGGCTCCTTGACATCTGGGACAACGACCCGTCCCTGTCTTCCAGCCTACCGAGCCGTGGCAATAACGCACATGCGTGACGGCAACATGATAATGCAGGTAATTCGCTGCTCCGCGCCGGTTTCTGTGGCACGGTTCGCAAATGACAGGTTAGCTGCAGCAATGGCCTCCTCAAGACTGCAATCTTCCGGGATGCCCAGAACGTCGAATGCTGTGGCCTATAGCAATGCACCCCTCTGTATACAAAACCTACTACCGCTTGTTGAAGATGCTGTTTCGTCGCACACATGAAACTGACATGATGTCTACCGTCGAAGCCTACATAATCGGACACTCTGCTTCTGTCTTTCTTGCCTGTGTCGTCTGCTCCAGGTTATGAAGGAACAGTCACGGTTCCACGCGCTCAGCGCTGGGGGTGTGAGATGGAAGTCTGGCTCTTTTCACATGACTTTACTGCTACTACTACAACTACTACAGTTACTACTACTACTAATAATAATAATAATACTACTACTACCACCGAAACCACTTACACTACCACGATACCACTACCACTAGCACCAGCACTAGCACGACCACCACCACCACCGCCGCCACCACCACCACCACTGCTGCTACTACTACTACTACTACTACTACTACCACCTACTACTAGCACCACTCTACCACTACTACCACCACTACCACTACTATCACTACTACCGCCACTACCACCACTACCATTCCTACCCCACTACCACTACCTCTGCCACTGCCACTGCCACCACCACTACCCCAACCACAACCCCACGACCACGACTGCCACTGCCACTGCCACTACCACTGCCGCTGCGACTACTACTACTACTACTACTACTACTACCACGAATACGACCAGTACGACCACTAACATTCTGCAACTACCTGGACTACTACGATAACTACGGCTGCTACGACTACGACGACGACGACGACGACGACTACTACGACGACGACCACTACTCCTGCTCCTGCTCCTGCTCCTACTCCTACTCCTCCTACTACTACTACTACTACCACCACTACCACTACCACTACCACTAGCACCACTCCTGCTGCTACTCCTGCTACTCCTGCTACACTATTTGCTGCTTACTACTACTACTACTACTACTACTACTACTACTACTACTACTGCTACTGCTACTGCAGTAGCAGTAGCAGTAG